TACCAGGCGCGAAAACACAACAGTGCTTCATCAGAGGCTGCATTGATGTTACCCATCAGGGTAACAAAACGTCTGCAAACTAACAAACCAGCTCGGTGAGCGCACCAACCATAGAATATATGCTATCATTTGATGCTTTTGTCAAGATCCAACATCTTGAGTTTTAATATGAGCTATAGATGAGATATAAATGTATTGCATATGATTAATGAAATTTTCCATAAGAGGATTTTGAACAGCATAGCTTTAGAATCATAGAATTTTACAATTAGGAGGCTGCCATTTGGCCCATTGTCTGTACCAGCTCCCCAAGAGCTACCCAACTAATCTCATTCTCCAGCCTATCTCCATAGCCTTCTAAATTCACCACTTTCAAATATATAATGAGCTCTTTTGAAATCGCCTTCGGAATCTACCTCCACCACTCTCTCCCAGGCAGCGTATTCCCAGGCAGCGTATTCCAAATCTTAACAATTGAGTTGAGGTTTCTCCTCTTCTCTTCTCACGCCTTGTTATTTTGCTAACAATCTTGCAATTGTTGACCCCTTGTTACTGACATACCAACTAGTGGAAACATGAATATTCTTCTTTACTATGTCAATTTGTTCATAATCTTAAACACTTCAGTAAGGTCACCTCTTAATCTTCTCTGTTTCAAGGAGAATAAGTCCAGTTCCTCCTAACCTTTCCTTGTATCTAAAATCCCTCATTCCTGGTATCATTCTAGTAAATCTCTTTTGCAATCTCTCCAGGGTTTTAACATCCTTTTAAATAAGTTGTTCAGAGCTGAACATGAGTATTCCAAACATGGTCAGACCAATGGTAGAGGTATTGCATCACTGTTGTTTTTATATTCTTTGCCTTTGTATCTAAACCTAAGGATCTATAAATTTGTCTTAACTTTTTCAACTTGCATTGCCTACCTTCAGAGAATTATGCTGTCAAACCACAAGGTGCCTCTGCTCCTGTACTCTTTCAATGTTGTACCTTTCAGCCTGTGTGTCCCTCCATGTTCTTATACTAAAATGCATTACTTCACCTTGTGCTGCATTGAAATTTATCTGTTGGGTAGCTGCCCATTTGGCCAGATTGTCAATATCTCTGTAGTTGCTCAGCATCATCCTCACAATCCACTGTTCTCTCGAACTTGGTATCATCTGCAAATTTAAGATTTTTGCCCACAATACCCATCCCCAAAATGTTTATATGAATTAGAAAAAGCAAGGGCCCCAGCATTGTTTCCTGGGGACCACCACTTTCACTATGTCATCTATACTTACCCTGTTTCCTATCTTTTAGGTGACTTACATTCTGTGCTGTCAACCGTCAATTTGAAACATTTCTAATTTGCTGACTAACCTGCCATGTGGTGACATGTCAATATGAAATATCCACAGCACTATCCTCTTCCACTGTCTGTCACCTTGTCAAAGAACTTCCAGTAAAATGGTGGAGTAGGGCTTCTGAACCTCCTGAATATAATGCAAGATTTTACTGCAATAATTTGTCTTTCTTCTTCTCCCTCTTCTGCTGCTCTTCCAGTCGCTGCTTGACATCGACTGGAGTCTCTGTAACAGGCTCCACGATCTTGGTTACCTGCTTCCACTACAATTGTAACTGCTGTAGCCATGGGCCTGGGGATGTGTGGGTTCTGTACCTCCCTGTTCCCCATCTGAAGATCCTCCAGATTCTGCTGCTAGTTATTAGTCATCGGGGTGTTCTGATAGGCATATGGATGATAGTATAAGGTAGCGGTGGAGGTTAGATCGACCTTAGGTTTCGGGTAAAAGTTCAGCATAACATTGTGGGCCAAAGGGCCTGTACTGTGCTGGACTGTTCTATGTTGATGAAGACACAAGCAAATTATTCAATTAATAACTCTGCTGTACCCTTTTTGCTGCAGTGAACAGTTTGCCCTGCTTGTTCCTTGTGTCCTACTCTAACTTTTGCTAATCTTTTTATTAACATGTTTGAAGAATATTTAGCTATTTGTTTTATTGCAACCTGTCATCTTTTTCTGATGCTTCCTTTTAGCCTTTTTTCTATCCTTAGCCTCTCTCCTGCCTTTGGAATATCTTCCTAAATTCTATTGCTATTATTAGCTTCAGATAATCTTGCAGTATGATTGTGTGGCTATCCATTGTGATTGCAATGTGTCAGGCCTGCAGCTTCAATGTGCTAACAATCCTCTCAATAGATTTGTGCCCTAATTCCTTTTAAACAACAATTGTGTGAATTTGGCAAAAGGTTCAGAGCTTGCAGCAGCCAGTTGTCATTGTGAAAAGTTTAGCATGCCCTTGGATTTCCAACTTTTACTTACTGCAGAAAATTCTCACTGCTAGGTACCTTTTTTAATTTTCTTGGCAGAGTTTCTCTCTTTTTATGTAGTGGCAAAATGTGACTGTCTAAAGGTGCTAATAGTACCTCTGGGCTCAGCGACATGTAGGATATTTTCAGTCGTGAAGTATGGAACTTGGTTTGTGTGACTACTGAGTGAATGAACTCGATAGCAAATATTTTAATGAATTGCCACTGCAGCCCAAGTCAAAATTCAACATGTGCCTCCTTGCCACTGTTCTGTTTAACTAAGGTGCTGCTTAAAGTAGTTGCATAATAGATGTTGTTTTTGGATTAAAATGCAAATTGAAAAATTGAGCAATTACAATGTTATACAACTATCCCTATTAACCCTCCAGTTTACAATATGAAAATGAAACTGGATTGAGGGTTGCATTTATCTATAAAATGTGCAAACACATCAAAGTAAACCAACTTTTCTGGCTATCACAGTTTGAAGGCATTGCACAAGTGTATATACAAATGATTAATCAACCCTTGTGCTTCAGTAGAGTGATGAGGGCATCATGAGATTTGGGGAAAGATCTGCAGCCAATTATGATTATTTCTATCCACATTGGGATTAGAAAAAAACTGAAGGAGTGTTAGCATCTACAGGTAGCACAGCCTTTGAGTTATACCAGACAAGTTCAGGCAATGACCATCTCCCCATGACACAATGGCATTACTATTGCTGAGTCTCATTAATCAAACTGGACAGGAACAGCTGCAGAATTTACACAGCTACAAGAAGCGGTCAGAGGCTGGGAATTAACTTGCTTTGAGTTCCAAAGCCTGACTCCTATCTATAAGTTATAGGTCAGGAATATGATGTAATAGTCTTCACTTGTCTGGCTGAATGTGACTTAACACTTGGCTCAACACTTTTCAGGACAAAACAGGCTATTTGATCAGCACTTACTCAGCCACCTTCAACACTCAATCAATCTTTTGACCACTTATGCGCAGTGGCAGCAATGTATGCTGGATGAGAAAGGGAAATATGATGGATGCTCAGAGCCTGACATTTCTGAAATATGTACTTTTTAATTTGGTTAACCAGTCTTCTGCTATCTCTACTTTCTCTTAGCTTGTCTGTGAGATAGGCTACTTGGACCAGATAATTTATTCATTGTAACCAACCCTTCCATGGTTTTTTTTTCATTTTCATCCCATTATCTCTTTCTCTACCATTCCATTGGTTTTAATTCGATTAAATTTCTCTTCATCTGGTACTAGATGCTAGCCAAGGAGCAACGGTAAAGAAAGAAGTTACAGTTAAATGGAGCTTTCTGTTGTCAGTGTGCATGCTCCGTGTACTACTTGAACAATGTCATGAGGGAAGCATCTAGATTAGAAATAGGAGCCAGGAATAGATTTCTGGGATCCAGCTGGGTAGGAGAACTGTTCGTTGATCATCCTAACAAAGTCTGTTAAATGATGGGGTGTCACAAGCTAGTAGGATACCACCTGGTGACTGACTAGCAGGAGAAATTTAGTTCCTTTCTCCTTCCCAGTTGTTTCAGATGTTTAATCTCAAGATGGAGCCTCTAGCACAATCCGGGGGAAAAATGACATCTTTCAGCATGTAGTTAAACACTTTGTAACTACTTTCAAAGTAGTGTCATAGTAGCCTTAGACAATTAGTTATCTCTCTGTAGCAGCTTCCAGACTGAATTGTATTTCAGATTTTCCTAGCATTTGTTGTATTTTTGCCTTTATTTAAGTTTAACTTGAACAAATTTTATTGCTTTTTAAATAGTTTTGAATAGGGAAATGTGGATACTTTTTTCAGCTAACTAGCATAGCTCTTTAGGGGTAGATAACTTTATATTTCTTCATTTGTATTTATCTGAAAGGGTTTAAGTTTAGGATTTGGAGGCTTTGAGCTACACAGAGAGGCTGAAAGTGACTTTACAAGAGGTTTACAGAAGCAAGAGGGGTGTGAATAGGGTAAAAGCTAGGGGAAAGATTTAAAAGGGGTATGTATGGAATGAACTGCCTGAGGAAAGGGTTGAGGCTGGCACAATTATGTTTAAAAGGCAGCTGGATGGGTATATGAATAGGAACGGTCTAGGGGGATATGGGCTAAATACTAGCACGTGCGGCTAGAATATCTAGTCAGCGTAAAAAAAAGTTGGATGGAAGGGACTGTCCTTATGCTGTACAACTTAGTCAATGTCTGCTGAGGTCAAAAATCACAGCTCCAGGTGCTAATCCACTAGGTTCATCAGAAGACATAAGCTTTCGGAGTCTTACTCCTTCACCGACACCAGCCCCTTCACATCATTTCTAGCTATGCTGGTTGGGCTAGTAGTGGTGGTGCAGGGGTACAAAGAGCTGCAGAAGAGAAATGTTGTGATGAGTTTCGTTTTTTCCTTTCTTCCCTTCCCCCTCAAAACCGTGCTGCCAATCTAATTTTGCAAATAAAAGTGGTAGGTTGTGTAGCTGTGTTATCTAGGGCTGGTTCTTCACATCTTCTTTCCCCCCCCCGGCCTTCCTTATGGGCATTGAGGATGACAGACATAATCACCCCTTCTCTTCCTCCCTCCCCCCGCCCCCATCCCATGGCCTGGCGGCTCGCCCCGGAAGTGAACTGGAAGGGCAGGGTCAGCCGCACGGTTGCGGCTCGGCTCCGGGAGGCGGCCATTTTGTGAGTCGGCGCAGAAGCGGCGAGTGTTGCGCGCGCTGCGGGGCCGGGGACGAGCCGACGCTGTGAGAGCGAAAAGGAGAGAGAGAGAGAGAGAGAGGGGGGTAGAGCCTGCTTCCCTTCCCTCCCCCTCCCCTACCCGCGGCACCAAACTCCCAGAGGCGGTAGGCCCAGCTTCCCACCCCGCTCTCTTTTTTTCGCCAATTTCTTCCCCCCCGCCCCACTCAGCTCGCCTGGAGCCCCGCACCTGGAGAGTGGAATGCGCGGCTGCTCCGAGCGGATGGAGTGAACGGCCCCGGAGCTGGAGGGGGTAGGGGGAGTCGCGGAAGTCAATGCCGAGTTCGGATACGCGCGGCGGGAGCCGGGGTCGCAGCCCCAGCGGGAGGAGACATCAGAGCCAGAGCGGCCCGGCTCCGGCCCAAACCCAGGCCCGGGATAAAGGCCGCTGCTCGACGGCCGCCGCCGTTGTCGCCGCCTCGTCCGCTCCTCCTCGCCCTTCGTCGCGTTCGCGGCGCAGGAAACGCCGCAGGAAGCGCTCGGCCGAGAGCCGGGCCCAGCGGAGGGACGGCAAGTACCCGGTCTCCGCCGCGGCAGCCTGCTCGGCTTCGGGCTCTTCGGCTCTCCCGCTCTCGCTCCGCGGCCTGGTCGAGTACGAGGACGTGAGCTCACAGTCGGAGAATTTCGGCTTCAGCCCCGCGTCTTCGGCTGGGCGCCGGGCCGAGCGCTCCCGCGACAAGGAGAGGCGGAGACGGGACAAGGGCAAAGAGAGCTCCCGGTCCAGGGCGGACGGCAAGGCCAAGAGTAAAAGCCGGAGCCGAAACAAAGCCGGGGCGGCAGCCGAGCAGCCGGCCCAAAGCGACAAGGAGGCCCGGGGAGGCCGTGGTTCGCACCGCACTGACAAAGAGACGCCCGCGGCTTACAGAGAGCCTCCGCCGCGGGCCTACCGGGAAGCCGACTGGGAGGCTCCGCGGGCCTACCGCACCTCGACCTCTCCTGGGCCCCGCAGTCCGCCTTACCGGGAGCAGAGTCCTTACGGTACATCTGTCCCGTGTTACCCGCAGGCTTACGGGGCCACCTCCGGCCATAGCCCCAGCAGGCCCCCTACCTTCGAACTATACAGCCCTCCCCCGCCGCTCTTCGCTTTCAAGCCGCTGTACAGCTCGCGGGAGTCGGCGTTACACGCCGGCTACACCGGTCGTTCTCCCAGCCCTTACCCGACTTCACGCCGCCGCTCTCCCAGCTTCTCCCGGCACCTTAGTCCCTATGATTATGGCGGTCTGTCCCCCGCTCCCTACTCCTCCAGCAGTCGGCGACGCTCGTCCAGTCCCTACAGCCGGAGCCCGGAACTCAGGTAAGACCACAGTCTGCACATCTCGAGTGTTTGAACTATTATTGTGTTAAATATATTTAAAAATTAGTCTGAAATGTACCCCGTGTACATATATTCCTTAAAGTCTGAAGTATGTACGTGAAACATAACGTATCAAGCATCAAATACTGTAAAGAGAAAAAATATACATCAAATGTTTCTTAAAATCGGAAAGATAGTGTACATACATTACACGTCATGCCCGTTTGATAAATTCCTAATGTTTTTGCCATACATTAACTGCAGGCGTTGAATAGAGAATGTAATGTTTCTTGATACTACAAATAACTCATTTAGGCAGTTAAATTGTTTAAAATGTTTGGAGTCTCACATACAGGGTTTTTTTTTTATCAAGTTTTAAAAAGTCATGCTTTGTGAGAAAGTAAATTTGCAAATGATTGATTTGAACACTGAGCTTTGTACCGTTAATAATTTTGCATTTGTGGTTTTTATGTAACAATATTTGAGAGAGTGCAACATCCAGTACTGTCTTGAAATTGCAGTTATTTAGTTTGTTTGAGGATTCAGTTCTTGACCCGCTCAGATTCTTTATCAGCTCTTGACTGTTGGCAACAAGAGATCTTCTTTTTTCCGTTGGGGATAACACTAGGAAGTATTTTGATATTTAGCTGTAGCTTTTTGGTAGCCTGTGTAATTGAATAGTTGATGAAACACTTGTGGAACTAAAATGGTGCAGTCATAATATCAAATATTTGTTCGGCCACCTGTAGCTGATGATTTTTTTTAATGATCTATTTCATAATGTGTTATTAAAGAACAAATGGAAGCTTAAACTACTGGAAGTGTATATAGTGATGAACATCTAAGAAGGAGTGAGGCTATAAATGAATTTCTGTCATTTTTGGGTACTGCTGTATTTCTAATTTGTACATGGTTTCTGGTGGTAATTCCCAACTTCTTTGGATCAGTGGGACTTTGAGAATCATCTATCATTGCCATTAATTTGTAAAATTCTCATGTTTCTGATAGAAATGTGTCTTGATGTTCTGAATTTGGAGTTATATGTCAACAATTTTTAAGAATGAGAAAACCTTTTTTCAAACAACTCAACCCACAAAATTTGCATGTGATTAAATAGCAAGTAAAGAATATAAGAATCAAATAGGGCTTGTACTTCAAGAGCTCTGGGTTTGAAAGTAATTTGCCGGCCATTGTTTGGGTATCTTTAGAACCAGTTCAGAACAGTATAGCAGAGGAATAGGCCCTCTGTGCTGACCATGATGCCATTTCTAAACTAATCCCATGTTTTGTTCTGTTGGTATTGAAAAGTGGTTTCTCACATTAGCTGATTGGGCTTTCTCAAATAACTTTTTATATCTTAGCTTTATAGCTGTACAATACTGTTCAAATTAGAATGGTGGAGATAAGACCACACAACTGTGTGCCTTCTCTGGCTATAATATGTTATTTTGAAGTTTGAGCTTGACTTCTGAAATTTGGCCAAAATTCTCTGAAAAATGTATATTCCTATGCACATGATGAACAAGTAATTACTTCAATAGATTGTATTATGAGGTGTGCAATCACTATTTTCCTGCTTGTAAAATAGAAAAAGAATATCAGAGGGTAAAACATTAAACATGTTCTGCAATATTTTTGCCCAAACAACACACCATCTAATTGACATCACTGTTTCTTAGTCAAAATCCTGGAACTTCCTTCTTACTACCAGTGTGGGTCTACCTGTGCTCCTAGGATTTCAGCGGTTCAAGAAGGCAGCTCACCATCACCTCTGTAGGTAGACATAGGCTATTAATACTTGCCCAGCCCGCAATACCCACTTGCCATCAAATAATTCAAATATTTGGACATCTTGGCTGAAGGCAAATATTGTAAACTTTAGTTATTTGTAAATGTTTCTGAAATTTATATTGTAATTTTAAATTGCTTGTTTGAAATTCACATTTTAAGTTTTTTTTTAAAACTTTTCACCTTGTTCTACACGTAAAGCTCCATTCCTGTATTTGATAATTCACATTTATTCCTGCAACCAATGACTTTGCATTATCTATAGTGGATATGTTTACTTTAAATGATTCAGACTTGTTTACATTCAAATTATGTGATTTATTTCTTTAGTTATAATAATTGTATTTGTTAAGCCTTAATTGATTGCATGATTTATACTTTCAGGAGGCCTAAATCACGGAGCAGAAGTCCATATCATTCTAGACGATCAAGATCTCGCAGCAAGCACCGTGTATCAAGGTCTCGCAGCCGGCAGTCAAGCATTTCACCAAACAGTTTAACTTATAAAACTAGTCTTGCAGCTGAGCTGAGTAAGCACAAAAAAGCAAGAGCTGTTGAGGCTGCTAAAAATAATGCAAAAACTTCAAATGCACTTACTGTGACTACTGCCAAGGCAAGTAGCAATGCTAGTTCAACAACAACAACAGCCCATACATCTCAAACAAAAGACACAAGAGAGGCGAATAAGCTCAAGTCTGAGCGAGTGACAGTT